ACCTCACTATAGCCCAGTCTGGTCTCAAACTCACAGCAATCCTCCTGCCTCAGCCTCCCGAGTGCTCAGATTATAGGCCTGCACCACCACTCCTGGCACAGCATTTCTTTAGTCATGTGCTGCAGGTGGATTCCACATACTTTTCTTCCAGTCCTCTTCACAATGACCTGATTTTGGGTACAGACCTTTAGGTACTAAAGGGCAACTAGATTTGTCAACAGAATGGCTGCGTATGGGGTAAATTACAAGAGACTCACAGTGAGTTCTCCGATGGATACTACACGAGGGTCATGGGATGACAAATCCCAATATGATGGGAGTTGCGTACTTAATAAATGCTGGCTCAATGAATGATCTGAACTCACTGAGGTGCTCTCAATGCTGGAAACTGAATTAATTTTGTCCCTATGATATAAAGGTAGGCCATGTTTACTGTCAGACTTCAGTGAAACAGTCCCCAGAATCATTTGAGTTACTAGATTGCCACTCAAGAAAGATTATGAAGATTCCTTGCAGCGCTGCATAGAGGATGTCTGCCCCAGAAGCACCTGTATGGGCTTCAGTCTTTCTGAAGGGGAAGTGCTCAGGGAGGTTGGAATGAAGAGAAGGCAGAAGGTAAAGTGAGAGCCACACACCAAGAAGCCAGAGTGGCAGGCACTGCATCTGGTGATAGAAGCTGATGGTGATCCAGGGAGCCTGACGTGACCCTGCCAGACCAGCTACAGAACATCAGCCAGGGCCAGGGCCAGGCCTCTGCCTTGGGCATAACCTCTTCTCCTTCTCTATTCCACTGTAGCCCTGTACAGGCCATCATCATACCTTAGTTCCTCACATTATGGTGGGTAAGGTGAAATTCTAATATTCAGCTCTTAAATACTGGGCACTTTCTGCAAGACTTATGGGCAATCAACAAACAAACAGAACTGAGGTAACTACCACCAACCACCACTTACCATGTAACCCCTGCATTCCCCCTGTCAGCAATCCAGTAGAGAGCATCTCGCTGAGGTTTGTGAACAGAGCCCATTAAAGCCTTTAATAAGGAACACCCCACAACTTCTCACATGGACAGGGATTGTTTTACAGCAGGGAAGCAGGGGAGTTGGAGAAGTGACTAGTTAAGTTAATGGGACAAGCGAGTGGGAGATCCTAGACTGATGGCTATGAGATCTTTCCATGCAGCATGAACTTTTTTGGTAACTGGGGAAGGTGAGAGGAGAAACAAGACAAAAACATTTACTCCAGAAACCCTTATCAGAAGATGAATGAGTTTAGAGGGCTTTTGGTGGTACAGGTGGTCAAAGGGCCAGCTTTGGGTCATGTGGTCTATTTCTTGGTGCCTGATTATTTATAATTGCCACTATCTACACTTGGGAAAAATGTCTCCAAAATTCTAATTCCTTCATCTGGACTTACAACTTTCTGATTTCAGCATGGAGCTGGCTGAGTTCTAATGAGTTCCATATTAAAATACAAAAACAAAAACAAAACAAAACCTCTCCACAAGTGGGTATTCAGAGTCCCCTAAACAGAATACTCTTTAAGGGAATCAACAACAAATAGCAAATCATGGACCATCAAATGGGATACTACAACAAGTAATGAAAATCCAAACCCATCAGTTCCTTTATGCTGACTTGAGAGATTTTTCTAGAAAAGCCACCTTCTATTCAGATGGGGGTGGGAGAAGGTATGCTTTACTGCTCTGACTCAACTAAGTATGTGTCAAAGAACCTACCATACCTTTACCTCACTGAAAGGAGACATCTTCAAGGGTGAGTATGTGACACACTGACTTACACTCAGTAGGGATTTTCATAAATATTCTCTGAATGAAGGAATGCAGGTCGGAATGTGTGTGGGATAAGACAAACTCATTTGTGCCAGAAGATTCCAGGCAGTGAATGAGGCTTTGATTCTGAGAACACAGGTCAAGGGCAAAGTGATGAAGGTGAGTGATGGACTGCATGCTTCAGTAACCACTGTGCTGCAGGGTCTGGGTGTGGGTATAGGGAGGCAGATGGCATTCTGGGAGATGTAGGGAGAAACCAGCCTGACCCCAAGGAACACTGTCTACTGGAGGAGTAAGGCCACAGTGAGTGACAACAGAGTTCCACGTCAAGCCCTTCTTTTTCAGTCAGAGATATGTGATCTAACAACCAGGCATGGCAAGAAAAAATGTATTAAGAGGGAATGGGAAAGACCATTCACATCGTCCTCCTTTTAACTGAGGAAAAGAGCAAGGAAGACGAAACAGGCAGAGCTAGGGGGAAGGCACACTTGGAGGTGTCTGCCCCGAACTCTATAAACCACTATCCAGGAAAAACAAACATAAATGAGAGTAAAAAGGAAGTTGACTGTCTCTTTGTCTCTGATCTCTTTCCCCACCTCTTTTTCTACACTTTTTGAAATTGTTTTACCCTTTTGGGAAAAAAGCACCCATTGTGATATTAGAACACTCAGCGCTCTGGTCCACTGTGAGAATTCTCTCACTGTGCTGAACTTTGGATAGATTCTAGATGTGGCTGTCCTGTCAGAGGACAGTAGGGCTCTCTACTTCACGTTCCCCTGAAGGCAAACCACCAGCTTCCACAGTGCCCCGCTTCTGATGACAGGAGGTCAGTTCTTCATGGAGATATAGCCATTTGCCTGCCTTGGACAGCAAGAAAATTCATGCAGAAATAACATTCAAAGCAGAAAGGCAGAGTAAGATGACAGAAGTAAGAACCAGATGGAACCGTACTTCTTCAAGTGAGCAAGACAGGATGTGGTTTGTAGTGTGTTTGGCACCATGACGTTTCTCGATGCCTGTTCCTTGTGGTTCCTCTCTTGGCTCCTGGACTCTCTCGGCTGGGGGCTAGCCGCTCCTTGTCAGGCAGGGTCAGGATGACTCTTCCAGGGCATTGACCACCTGTTCCAGGATGTCAGGGCAGTGGTCTGCTATCTGTTGAAGAATGGCGTTGGCAAACTCCTGAAGGTCTGCATTGTCCCGTTCGCACTTTTCTAACTCACTCTGAAGCTGAAAGGGAAAGGAGAGGTAGATTTCAGATAAATACAACAATCTTATTTGCACTGAGTTAAGAATTACTGCTTATCAATAAAGAAATGACAACAAGAAGCATTTTCTTTGTGAAGTCTCCCTGCATCAAAGTTAACAAAGTATAAAACTATCAAATGTCTTCTTGTGAAAATGAGGCCTAAAGAAGTGAGAGAGTATGAGCTGGGCATGGTGGCAGACATCTATAATCTCAGCACTTGGGAGGCTGAGGCAGGAGAATTGCCATGAGTTTAAGGCCAGCCTGTGCTGCACAGTGAGTTTAAGATCAGTCTGAACTACGTAATGAGACCTTGTCTCAAAACTAAGTCAAATCAAACCAAACCACAAGTGTGAGACTAGTCCAAGGCCCAAAGCTGGTAACTTACAGAGCAGGGACTCAACCCTACCCTCACTTTGGGTACAATGTTTTCTCCACAGTGCCACAATCTCACAAACATGACTGGGAAAGGAGGGTACAGAACACCTCAGACAGGATCTTAACCTTGATTAGTGCTCCTTGCCTTAGGGAAACTTATGACAAAAGGGAAACTTATGACCACTTGCTATATGTCACTTTTATTTTGTATATTAGGCCTTATCTCAGGCCAGTGAGCTCAAGAGATTACTTGGCGTAATTTCCAAGTCTTAAATATAAGACAGTCCATTTATTTAAGAGTAAGCATACTTCTAATTTCCTGCTGTTTGCAACACCCTCTCTGACATTCCTTCATTTAGCCAACATTTATCACTATCATTTATTTACTATGTGCTAGGAACTGAAAATGGATAGATCTGGTCCTTAGGTTAAAGGAAGAGACACGCATATGAATAGATACATTATGACCCAGCACAGTCAGGGCCCAGGAGAGGTATAAACATGTACAATGACTGTTTCATCCTGGAGGGGTTTGAGAACGCGCTACTAAAAGTACCCCAGATCTGGATCTTGAGAACTGAAAAGAAGTCTGTCTGGGAGATCAAAGGCAGAAGAGGCTTTTGAGCAGATGAGACAAATGCAAATGTGTGGAGCCAGGAAGGACTTGGCACAGACCTGGGGATGTGTGAAACATTCAGTATGGATGGAGCCTAAGATGAGGAGACTGGGTAGAGAATGACAGGGATGTAACTGAAATGACAGCAGAGAGTCAGAATGTCTACGAAGCTAGTAGTTCAGATACAATCTGGTTAAAACCCAAACTCAATCTAACACTACAACAAAAAGGAAGTGAAAGAGTTTCGTAACAGTCCAGTGACATGTAAATGCTGAAGTAACACTTTTATGTACTTGTTTGGGGATTTAATAAGCAAAGTGAACAGAAAGGAGATGGTTAGTTCTATTCCCCTACTCTGCTGTTTTGAAGAAGTTAATTCTTAGCTCACAACACGTACATTCTGACAGTGGAATTAAAATATGGTTCTCCTTAAGCCGGGCATGGTGACACATGCCTGTGATCCTAGCACTCAGGAGGCTGAGGCAGGAGGATCACTGTGAGTTGAAGACCAGCCTGGGCTACATAGTGAGTTCCAGGTCAGTCTCAACTACATAGTGAGACCCTGTCTCAAAAAACCAAAAAAAAAAAAAGGTTCTCCTTGCCTTTTGATCTTTCTGGGTAATCTTACCTATTTAATACTATTATCTATAACATCCAACATTTATCAAGCATTTTCAACATGTCAGGCATTACACTGTACTTTATATGATATAATATATCCTATTAAATCCTTGAGACATACCAAGACTCGGTGTGCTGTAAGTCTGGGCCTTGAATGATCCAGCCAGACTTAGGCCACATTAACTCCTGGTACATACATCTTAGAATCTGGCTGTGTCACACAAATATGTCACATAGGAAAGCTAGGAGGGAGGACAGGCACCTTGTCAAAATAGCTGCAAACCAAACAACTCAGTAGAAAGGTATAGCTCTTGAGCCTCCTCAGTGAAACTAAAGCCAACTAGGGAAAAAAAAAAGATGAGGATGTGTTGCTTCAGGTTCCCATCTCAGTCTTTCCTAGAAGATTATGGACAGCTCTGGTTTATATTCAGAGGCCAGGTATCTGTGGCCTACACTCTCTATAAGTCATTTATTGATTTCTTATGAAAGAGTTTCTAGTCTAATTTGGCTTCTGTTAAGATAATGATGAAGTCACTAAACATTTTAGTTTAGCAACCTTTTCTTTTTCAAGTTTTCTGGCTGATTTAAAAAGTGCTACACTTGCCGGGGATTTAGCTCAGTGGTTCCGCTGCCTGCCTTGTAAGCAAAAGGACCTGAGTTTGATCCCTGGTAACAACAACAACAACAAAAATAATCCAAGCAAAAAGTGCTACACATCTATTAGAAAATTTGGAAAAGAAGGGGTAGTATTATAAGCCTAAAGAATCAGTAAGTTAATAGAAAAACAGAAAATATGAATAAAAACCACATAAAAGAAATACAAATAACTCATAACCATGAAAGACATGCAACTTCATTAATAGTTAAAGAAATACAAATTAAATAACATAGGCGTTTCCTGTGTGTCATAGTAGTAAATCTTTCAGAGATCGCTAACAACCAGTATGGTAAGAGTCTGAGAAAGTGGGTGCTAGTAAACAGCTGCAGGTAGGAATATAGACTGTTGAGCAGTTTGATGTCATGAACCAAATTTAATTGTACACGTCAATTTTTAAGACCAGAATATGGGTCTTTCTGTATATGTAATACCACAACATCAGTTTTGCAGTGAAAAATGTGACTTTAAAACTATAAATACTCTTCAGAGCTGCATGTATTTTTTTTTTCCTTTTTGAGATAAGGTCTTGCTTTGTAGTGCAGGCTGGCCTTGAACTCACTATGTAGCCCAGGCTGGTCTCGAACCTGTGGTGAACCTCCTGCCTCAGCCTCCCGAGTGCTGGGATTATAGGTATGTGCCACCATGCTCAACTCAGCTGCATGTTTTTTTAAGATATAATTCTGATATCCTAAGACTTTGAAAAGGGACAGATACAAATATACTCAAACTATTAAATGGTCATAAAAAGGAATGAAGTTCTGATACATGCTACACATTAGGTCTAGCTATATTATACACATTACATACAAACATTCTGCTAAGTGGAAGAAGCTACTAAAAAAAAAAGACATCATATTGTATAATTCCATTTTTGTGTAATATCCAGACTAGGCAAATCCAAAGTGAGACAACGACAAATGGTTATCTAGGACCCGGAATACGATGGGGTAGGTGGGAGTGACTATCAGTGGGTATGAGTTTCTTTTTGGGTGATAAAAATGTTTGAAAATTGATTATAGTTATGGATGCACAACTCTGAGAACATACCAAACGTCACTGAATTATATATTTCAAATGGGAAAATTATATGGCATACGAATTATATATTTTTAAAAAAACCTATAAAAAAGTGGGCTGTGTAGTAAATGACCACTCACAAGTAGAGAAAACATTACTGCCTTCAATTTGAACAGAATGGGGGAGGAGGTGTTTCTTAAAGAATCTGGCAGTTGACAGTAGAGGACAAGAAAGAGGGTGATTTGAAGTGGAGAAACAGTATAAGCTAAGGCAGTAAGGAGAAAATGTATCTGGCTGTTCCTAGAAGTTCAGGAATATAGGAATTACTGGATCTTGACAGAGTAATACTAGCTCTTCGAGGGTGACAAAAGACTTGGCCTGGCTGGGCTTGGGCACTACTGCCCCATGCAGGACCTCCCTGCATTACATGGTTTCAGCCAAGCCACGCCTAGGGCGCTGTGTTCCATTTCAGACACCTCATTACCAGAAACATGGAGAACAACTGGAATAAGTACAAAGAAACATAGCAGGCATGACTAAGAAGCTGAAAGGGTCAGTTTATGAGACAGAATTAGAAGGACTAAATATATAGACTCCAACTCAGTGAAAACTAAAGGAAGGGAATGTGATTATTACCCATGAATATAGGAGAATATAAACCATAAGGGGGAAGAGTGACTTAGCACTGAAGATTAAGAAGAAAACAAGCAACCCAGAGGGACTATAAGGCTGTGGTTTTTCTCTGTTGTAACAAATAGTTTGCTTGGGAAAAGGCATTTAAAAGTCAAGGAATCAGAAGGATTAGAACATTTACTGAAAGGAAGTGTTCCTCATTAGCTGGAGTTGCTTTCCATTTGGCAGGCACCTCTATTCTCCAGAGATTCTGCAGGGCCTGAATTTTACATGAAAGCAGGTACTGAATGTGGGCATGGCTGAATAGGGAGAGATGCTGCTGCCATTTGATCCATTATATGCTAAAATATTTTGGCTTGAAATAATCTCATCCTATCTTGTGAAGCTGGAACTAATTTTTTGTTCCTTCTTTCTCTCTTTCTTTCATGTGGGGGACTGAATACAGGGCCATACTGTTGTTCTTCCTTGGAGATTGCTGACTATGGACTGAAACCTCTATAATCTGTGAGCCAAAACAAACCTTTGCTTCTTGAAGATGTAGGGACTGTGTCTCAACGAGAAAAGTAACTAAGTTGACATGAACCGTTTTCCTTTGCCACATACTCCCCAACCATACTCATTAGCTGCTTCCTCACAGGGCCAAAAGCAGAGTTTTAGACTCACATTTTATCAAGAGTTTGATAAACATTTCCTTGTGAATGTTCTATTTACCCATCAAATCATACTGTTAATACTAGTTTTGTTTTGTTTTGCAGTGATGGAGATGAAATGCTGGCCTTGTGCATGTGAGGCAAGAACTCTACCAATGAGCTACATCCCCAGTCCTGTCTGTATATTTAATAAACTGTTCTTTTCATTTATTAACTACTATAAACAGCTGTTATAAAATATAATTTTTTTCCTCGAGTTTATTCGTACATTTTAGGTATACAGTACAGTTATATTCATTATTGGGATCTTGTACTTTTACGTGACAGGTCTTGGTTCTCATTTTTTCCCCTTGTCCCTGCCCTCCCTTCACCTCCTTCTCCCCTCCCCATTTACAAATACTTTATTTCCAT